CTCCGGGAGAAGCTCCGCACCGTCGCCCGCATGGCCGGCCCGCCGGCCCACACCGCGCCGGGCTCCCGACAGCAGGTGCAGGGCGGCGAGCGGCGAGCCGAGCCCGCCACCGGGGCTCCCCCGGCCCGGGAGACGCGAGCTCCGCTCCGCTTCGACTACGAGCGGTTCCGCCGGAGCCTCCGCCACCCGGTGCGGGGCAGGCGGCCCGGCGAGGACCCCGAGACCCGCGCCCGCAGGATGAAGATTAAAGAGGTGAGGAACCCGCACCTCGCCCGTGCCTCCCCTCACGGCCGTGTCCCTCCCCTCAGTGAGCCCTCATGTCCCCTCACGGCCGTGTCCCCCCCCCTTCAGTGAGCCCTCATGTCCCGTCACGGCCATTCCCCCCCCTCAGTGAGCCCTCACCTCCCCTCATGGCCGTGTTCCCCCCTCAGTGAGCCCTCGCCTCCCCTCACAGCCATTCCCCCCCCTCAGTGAGCCCTCACCTCCCCTCACGGCCATTTCCCCCTCCTCAGTCAGCCCTCACCTCCCCTCATGGCCTCGTCCTCTCCTCGTTGCCCCCACTCTCCTCACACAGCCCTCACTTTCCCAGCCTTGCCCCCATTTCCCACACAGGCCCTTCGTGCCCCTTTCTCTCGCTTTTGTCCCAAGGAAGGTGACAGGAATTGGGGGGTGTCCCTTTCCGTGGGGGTGTCCTGCAGCATGGCCTGCCAAGTGTCAGCGGGCGGACATGCCCGTCAGCATCTGCACACACCTTCCCTCACCAGAGAGGAAATGTTAGGGCAGCCTGATAGGGTGTGCCTAGAAATTAAAGAGCTGAAGTTAGGCAAAGGGAAATTTCAGTTTGGTTATTAGGAAAAAAAACTTGCTTGGCAAAAGGTGTCTGCGGTTGTGCAAGAGGTTCCCTCCTCAAGATATTGGCATAAACCGGGCTGCTTTACACAAAAGCTGGTAGGTGACAAAACTTGCGCTGGTCCATGGGGATGGACGGATGGGATGTGCCGTCACAGAAGTTGGGGAGGAGGTGTGAGGCTGGCTGTCCCTGTAAATCGTTTTGTCGCTTACTCTGGCTTACTTGAAGGCTGCCCTCGCTTAGACCCCACTGAGCCTGGGTAACCTCATTGGTAGGGTTACAGGGGTGTAACAGAGGGGAGAATTTGGCCTGGTGCCTACGGTTCGTGCATAAAAGCCTGGCAGCCTCATGAACGTTGCAGAGCAATCTGTGACCTAGTTAACCAAGAGCTATAGATTCTGTGTAGTATTCAGTTGTGTTTGTCGTATCTTTTGCTACGATAGATAACCAACTTGGAGTGAATTTTGGTGTAGTAAGAGGTGCTGATAAGTAAAATGCACAGATTTAATTAAGCAGAGTATAAATTTCCTGGGTTTGTTCTCTCACAGAGGTGTAGGCATTCAGCAAAGATGCTGCCCCAGGTTGAACAGAGAAGGAAGTCAGAGTAACACGCCGAGGGCTTTAATCTGCTGTAACCTGTGTTTTAAAAACAGTTTTTTAAAGCTCCCCTCCTGATATCTCTCTCAGTCATTAAAACAAAGGCTGCACCGCTGGTAAAATTCCAACTTCTCTGCCAGGCAACCAGACACAATACACCCAGGGGTGCTGGGTTTCTTTATGATCCCAGGCATGATTGAGCCATCCTTTCGTTCTGCATCTCAGCTGCAGGGTATTCAGAATATTCCAGTACCCGGCCGTCTCGTGTGCTTGGAGTTGCGGAGCGTGTGCTTGAGTATGCTGCAGACTCCCACTTTCAAAGTATGCTAGGATAGCACAGCGTACCCATGAATAACCCAGCTTCCACTCTGTACAAACAAATCAAATTGGAAATCAAATTTATGAAAGCTAGTGGAATTCAGTCCTTTATTTGTAGTTAATTATTTTTTAAATATAGGATTATTGCAAGTTGTATGGATTCAGCCCCATCTGTTTGTAACAGCCATAATCAGCGCCGGGTAGCAGAGTTAGATTTTTCAAGGATGAGAATCCATAAATACTAGTTTTATGCTCACAGCTAATTACTCTTCAAACAGAGCCGTTATTCCTTAAAAGTGGCTGCACTTCTATTTATTCAGAAAGAGAGAGAGAAACAAATATGGTGCTGAGATATGAGACTGAATGTGCAAAACAAGGGACGGTGGTGCAGCTTGTGGAAGAGATAAGGTGTGTCCTTTTTTTGTGAATCAAAAAGACATGAAGAAAACAAACCAAGAGAGGTTAGAAGACAAATGCTGTATGAAAAGAAACAGATGGGTAAAAAAAAAAAATTGCAAGGAAGAAATAAGTCGAGTCATGATACAGCATTTGGGTTAGCAAATACTCTTCACATGATGTGAGAGACACCAGCAGGGGCAGGTAGTGGGTTTGCTGGCTGTTGTAAGGTGTTGTGTGCAGTAGCAGTAAGTAGCTTTTCTCTCCTTCTGCCAGAGCTTTTAAGCCCTGTAACTTGCTAAAATGTGTTCCAAAGTGTCCTGGTACTTAAAGTTTTGTTTGTTCCCTGCCACCCCCTTAGGCCATTCTTACAGGTCAGCACCTATATAACAGGGAGGATGAATATGGATGGGATTTGTTGATTTTATTTTTATTTCCTGACCCCCCCCCCGCCCCCCCGCCCCCATGTGTCTGCCAGAGCCTAGATGAACACCAGGGGAAAGAAGTGGTGCATGATCAAAGACTAGGGCTGATGCCCAACCTAGAGACTTGGAACTTTCTGTTTTCTTGTAGGACCCTTCAGTCTGAGCAGGAGTCTGAGCAGGCATCCACTCTTTCCCACTGAACCTCTAAGATGCTTGATGCTTCAGCCAAAGAAGAGGGTGTGTCATTAGTTTCTGGGCTGTTAGGTGTGGAAAGTGTCAACTAACGTAGTCCTGCTAGACTTTTTCTGCTTAAAAGATAATGTTGTCCAGAGCGTGAAACCCACCGCTGTGGTGTCTCCCACTTTACTGCTGTTTGGGAAAGCTCTGAGCAGTGCTAGGGGCACTGGAGCTGTTTGCAGGTTAAGGAGTCTGGCCGTGGGTATATCTGCCTCCCTGACTTGTGTGTTTTGAATGCTGTGTTTCCTAGTAGTCAGAAAGGAAGGGAGGTGGATTCTCAAGTTGAAATGTCATGTAGAATTCTGTTAAAAGAAGTGAGTGCTGCAGTGAGCTGAGCTGACGTGTGCATGCAGGTATGTTGCTTTGCACTGGGTAACTTAGCAAAGTGGCAGACTTCTTAGGTTCAACTTCCCTTTTTAAAGACAAGTCCAGAGTCAATACGCAATTGTTTTCCTGAGAAGCAAAAAAGAGAGCACCTGTATTGCACAGACTGCTTACTGCAAAAGGTCATTAGTCACCTGGAGAATTGTCTGGGCTATACTGCTGTGTGTTACTGTGGGCAGCTGAGTACTGTGGGCACTCTGACCTTTTGAAGAAAACTGCAATAAAACCAAGTAACAATCTCCCCATGCTGCAGGTAGAGAAATTTAGAAGAGCCTGGGATTATTCATCTCTTAAACTGACCTCTGAAAAACATATTAGTTCTGTAACTGATCGGTCATGCATGGCTTCAGGGACTAGCTAAGTTTTTACATGTGCCAAATACTAATAACTGATGTTCAAAAAAAAAAGTGGTTGTAGTTGGAAAGTGACTGCAGAAGTGCCACAGTGGGATTCCATATTTATTTGCTCTCAACAGTTTCCAGATCAAATTGGCTCAGTGAAAAGTCAAAATGATTTCCCCTCCAACTGCTGCTACTGCAGACTCAGCCTCAGATCTGGGAAAATCAGACCATGTGGTTTCTGCCTTTTGCATCATAACCAGTAATAAAGATTTTGCTATTGGAGCTGAGCTGACAGTTTTGCTATGATGGATGAAGCAAAACAGACCGCTTCTTGCTGTACTGTTGCTGTGTTGGCTTCATGGGTCTCATAGGTAGGGAAGCTATGGGGAGAGAGAAGAGCATTCCGCTGAATTATTTTTATACCAACTCTACTAATGCTGTCCAGTGCTTAAGGACAACCACTGCAACCAGCTAGACCAGAAAGTGTCCACTGAGGAAATTAAATTAGCTAGCTTACTCCCAGTCATGAGATGTGAGAAAAATGTGAACAGTGAAAGAGATTTACTGGTTTTTCTTTTCCTCTTTGGGTACAAAAGGCAAGTTTCCTTGCCTGATGTCACAGAATACCTAATACCTTAACCTGACAGTGTCCTTTGTCCCTTTCAAATAAGGGAATATGTCAAATTCAGGCAGGCTTTTAGTCCTCTGCTGGGATTGTACCCTTGGGTTTGACACATGCATTCATTTTCTCCAGATTAGTAATACTGAAGCCTATTTGTTTTTCAGTGCAGTTCTCTTCATCCTGGCTTTTCTTCCTGTCTCCACCTTCATTTGCCTCACCTTGCTGTCTGCTGTCCTCTTTTAACACAGCTCTAAAGATGTATTTGCGTTTGAAAATCAGACCCCAGGGGGAAGAAGGCCATCAGAGTCCGTGTACACAGTTATCCTGCATCACTCTGCAGATTAGCAGGCTGCTATTAAGGTAGATCAGTCTTTTAAACACAAATATCTTGACAGTTTGTCACTGAAAGATAATTGCAAGAAACAGGAACGTTATCAGGAGCTAAGCTTTTGTGGAAAGTTACTTGGTGTTGGTTGCTGAGTTCCCTTTCTGTGGTTTGGACAGTCTTGAGCAGTGATCCCTTCCGCAATGAAGCACGTGTTGTTGGGACAGAGCTGGGGAAGTGCTGCTTGTTCTCTGTCTGAATTTGTGCCGCAGCCCTGACCCCTGGTGGGAGAAGTGTCTGGTCAGACACTCGTTCCCACTCGCACACGTTCGTGGAGGCAAGCCGTGGGTATTCTTAGGGGATTTTACATGGGTGCATAAGGACCAGGAACTGGGTTTTTGAGCCCTGCTTTCAATAAATTGATGATCACACGGTTTGAGTTACAATTGGTCTGTTGGTACAATGCTGTGAATCACATTATTGGTCGTCCCTGAGCCATCTCATTTCTGAAGCCAGCAGTAAAAAGATTTCAGACATGTCCCTTTCCCTATACTGTGCACTTCTGTTCTTCCATTTGGAGAAAATGCCTTTTCTTTCTGTAATCTGGGGATGAACAGAACTACAAGCAAATAATGTAATCTGTCAGTGGCTTCAGTACGTGAGTAGCACCACACACAGTTCTAGATGGAAGTGCACCTCCCCATGCATATCTTTCTCACTGAGGCCTGTAGAAAACATCTAATCCTTTGTGCTGGTC